TTTTAATTTAATTATTTCTTCTTTTTTATTATTTATTTAATTTTTTTATCAATTTTTTTTGTTTTAGATTCTTATTTATCTTTTTACTTTTTTATGATTTACTTTTTTTTATAGTTTTTATCTTATTGTTTATTCGGCTGTGTCGGCTTTTGTGGCTCTTTACCGATTCCCTCACCCGGCCACATCATTGGCGTTGGATCACACAGACCACAAAGTAGCCACTGGCACAGTCACCAGCGGAATTGTTGGCCCCTGACGGTCTCTTGGTGTCCCCCCTCCCCCCACCACCATACGAGTCACCCATTGTCTCGGCCATACTCAAGCTCACGTTCAAAGGCCGCCCGACATTAAACGCGTTCGCTAAACACAAAGCCGCCACACATCCAGCGGACGCCGCGTCGTTTGATGGTGACCCAGCCGGCGCTGAGGATAAAAGTCGGAGGACTCCATGCGTGTAAACACAACACGCCGTGCCCGAAAATAGGAAGATCATGACAACTTTTTTTCCCCTCTCCCCCCCCCCACAGAAGAATCATTTTCCCAAATCTTCGGAGATATCCTAAGGCCTCACGCGGGGGCCAAATGTTAGACAAAGCCCTCTGTGTTGGGAGGCCGCCGCCTGTCTGCGTTCAGTTTTCACAGGCGGGCGAGCGCGGACGGAGTTTTGGTTAGGGGAGCGAGAACAATGGCTCCTTTCAGCGCCGAGGTCCCCCCCCTGATCGGCTGCAATCTGCGGCAGGATATGATCTGAGCCCCCCCAGGAGGGGAAAGGAAAACTCCAGCCTGGAGAACGCAAGACGGGCTCGGGCCCTTCGCTACGGGAGACGCGCTCAACCCGACGCGGAGAGATTTAAAAAATAAAATAAAAGTGTGATGTGGCCACCCAGGAACCGATACATCCGGGACCCGGCCATTAGTTAGGGCCCCGGGGGCCAGCACAGTCTTTAAAAGGAGAACTATGAGGCGAGTGATTTTCACTCACCTCATAATCTGAGCCGACCTGTGACAATGAGACTGTCACAGGTCGGATCAGTAGATCGGGAAGTGAGCGAACACATACCGGCGCTCGCTCACCTCTCGATCCTGTCATGGCTCTCTGCCGTGACATGGGAGGGGCTGGATTCCCCCCTCCCCGCTCCGCCAGCGCTGACTGGCGGAACGGACGGGGGCGGGTACAGCTGGCTCTGCCTCTAGATAGGCAGAGCCAGCTGTCACTCACGCAGCTGGGCGGAGCCAGACAATTGTCGGGATCCGCTCCGGCTGCGGCGTCTCAGTATACCGCGAGCTGTGGCTCCCTATATACTGAGCTTAGGGTGACGGGAGGACGCTAGTTTGTGTCCTCCCGTTACCCTAAGGAGAACTATGGGGAAAAGCCTTAACCCCATAGGTCTCTTTTAATTATAGTCACCGCGGGCGCCCCAAAGAGTTAAAGGAGAAGTACGGGGTCAGGGTTTGTCCCCATAGTTCTCCTCAGGGTAACGGGAGGACACAAACTAGCGTCCTCCCCTCACCCTAAGCTCAGTATATAGGGAGCTGTAGCTCGCGGTATACGGAGACGCCGCAGCCGGAGCGGATCCCGACAATTATGTCTGGATCCGCCCAGCTGCGTGAGTGACAGTGTCACAGGTCGGCTAGAACTATGAGGTCAGTGAAAAGCACTTCCCCCTCCCCCCCCTCATAGTTCTCCTTTAATTCATTCTGATCTCTGAAGCCTCGCGGGCTCCTCGGCTGTAATGGGGTTTAATGATCCTAATCAGCGGCGTCCGAGTGTTGGCCACTTGTCGCCACACTCCTCGCCTCGTCGGGTCCGCGCCGTTCCACGAACGAAACCCTAACACCTAAAGTGCCGCCATTTCTCCGCACACGCGGAGGACATACTTGGAGCGTGATTGAAGGAGAGCACGCGGAATGTCAAACAGGTGAGATATGATGGGAGACTGACGAGCGGGAGATGGAACGGGGGTGGGGGAGCGGGGAAAAATGACACGGCGGAGATAAAAACACAGAATTTCCGATACGAAAA